TTTCCCTCGCGTCGTCTTCCGTTTGCTAAACGCACCTTAAATTACGCGGCCGATGATAAATATTTGAGCCGTCCATTACGCGAAAGGGCCACCCCCTCTGGACCCCTGTCTGACCGGCGTTACCTCCTTGAGCCGACGCAGGTTCCTCGTTGGATCGTGTTACTTCGAAAAAGGGACACCCGAAGGTGAGCTACACCGAGCAATGGTGACCACCGCAACCGGGGATTTTTTCCGACGATCACCGACAACGGAGGATCTTCCCTTGCCATCTTACCACCTTCTCAACGTTCCTTCATCGCGGCGCGCTACTCCACGGATGGGAAATGGGCATGAAGGCCCAATTACACGTACCCAAAACACGTACTCTGAGTACTCCTTTGGCAACCGAAATAATACAAACGCTTGAACAAAATCAATTTAAAAAAAGTGAAGCATCGTTTGATTCATAGACCCCGTACTTACTGAATATAACATTTTGTTAACATTAGAGCTATGTAAGTTCTAATTGTCTAATTGTATAAAATGTTGCATATACGAACGAATCGAAATGAACTTGAACAGCATACGTTTGAAAAATCGCGTGTAATTAAATCGTACGTCGAGGGATTAAGGAGATCGGGCCCCCGAGTGGTCAATTTGGACCCGATAATCGATAAGCGTAGGATCTCGCGTTTCAAGCACGCCTCCTCAATGCGACACGGGATGGCAACGCCGCGCTATTACTTGCACCTCGATAGCGGAGTTTTATTTCCGCTCCACGCCGCCGCAGCCGCCACAAAAGTCAGAGTGCCTCGTAACAGGATTATGAAATGTTCCGGAGTAGCGTTCCGCAGATGTTTACAGCTCGCGAATACTCGTTATCTTTTATTGCCACGGGTGTTTCAGCGATTCTGGCATCGGCTCCGTTAACGAGCGACGTTTATACGCTCATTGGTCAGTAACTCTCCCCCACTCTAGATTTCGCGTACAGAGCACATGGACCATAATGCAGGCATTGTTTTCCCGCGACACTAGCGCCAAATCTTGCGCCTCCGATAGGCTACCCGCGGATACAGGGAGGCATGGAGCTTTCCTTTTTACAATTCGAGCCCCTCTTTGGACCAACGCGTTCCTTTATCGAATGTCGCTGTGATTATGAAAGTGGACCGAGCAAAAAATTTGAAAAAATTGCATATTTAACTTATTCTAATATGGAATAAAAGAAAATATTAAAAATGATAATGACATATTAGGCGATTCACACACATGCTATAAAAATTCTAGCCTGAAACAATATCTTTACTCATGGTTAACCACTATGACGTAATGCGAAGACTTTGGTGATAATTCTTTATTTCCCTTATACATATACATTTATTATATAATAAGCATGGATTTCTTTCTATTTATTATTTCTTTAGAAAAATGGTCTGTCGCTATGTGGAATTGCACAACTGTATACATTATCCTATTGTCTTAGTACATAATGGTTCAATGAACTATAGCTTGTAAGAGACGAAATATGATACTAGTCATAAATATGCACGTAGTGAAAGTGCTAAGAAATCGATAGTTGCTTGATAAAAATTTATTTTTTAGAAAATGGATTCTGAATCGAGCATCCCTATGCTAGGTATTTACTTCGGAAGAGAAAGTTCTTTCACACGAGCAAGCATTAGGGACACTATTCTGGCTCTTGCTTCGACACTTGCATATCATTGTGAAAGAACCTCACGTGAACGTACGAAAAATAAAATATCCTGTCACTCAAAAATTAATTAAAACGATAGCTTTACTGTTTAATTTTTTACTTTCATTGCTTTAGTAAATTTAGTCTCGATACTGTATTTTGGAGAAAATCTAGACTCTCGGATGGGATCAAATAGGGATATTTAATTTCGAATTAATTGTCTAGAAAATTATCCTTTTTAAGGTGACTGTCGATTTTTCACATTTTCGATAACCAGCATGGCGGTCAATGTCCCATCCTGTAGCGCTACTCGACTCGTCGGCGTAGTTTTGTTTGACGATCGCCGTTTTTATCTCCGCAGGTCAGCAAAAGTAATCTCCGATTTTTCTGCTCGCTTGGACTTCGGTTACTCCATCGCTCGGATCATCGAGCAACTGCAATAGAAGACAATTTTAAATATCATTTTCTTTCTTCGAATGATTATGGTTCGTGCATATAAAATTTAGTAAATAATTGCCACCGGTAAAGGTGCCCTACAAAACTATTACTATTATACAAATATTTCTTCATTAGAATTTCTCCAAAACGCGGAGATAAATAAATTAATTCCCACGTAACGCGCATGGTTTATGCATAACGGTGCATCGTTCCATTTCAACCTGATAGCCAGACGCTTCTTGAACGAACGATATTTTAAACATGGATGGGTTCTAAATCTGCTAGATTTTTATTTTCGTAACTGCTCGAAAATATTGGTTTATTGAACATTATTTGGACAATTTTAAAGGTTGGGGAGTTACTGTTTAAACCGAAATCACACGGTGCGCCGCTCTTGGATAGGAAGAATGTTAAAAGAATGTGTTTACACTATAAATTCACACGATGTATGAGATCTTCGATAGAAAATTGCAAATGTGGTCGGAACAACATCGAAACGAACATTCTTCGAGGCTCTGTATAGCATTTGGACAGGATTCCAAGAATGTGTTGACAATGATAGTCAAATCTATTTCTTGAAATAATGCATTCCGTTTTGTTTCTCCGAAACAGTCACTTCCATCCAAGTTTCTTTTTTTCAAGCATCTCTTTTTCTGATTTTATTACTCGTTATTGACTATTCGAAGAATTTACATAAAATCGTTGATTAAAATACTCCGATTCAGCATGGTCCTGTCATAGGTGTCGATAAGTTGGAGCAAAAGTTAACAGAGAACACAACGAGACAAGTAGGTACTCCGATATCGTTTGCAAAAAATAGAGGTTCTCTTTGTGCCGTAAAATTAGGATTGCCTCCGGAATTTCATGGACTCCGGCTTTGTTTATACCGTGTAAATTGGGATGTGTCAATGATAGATTGCCCACTGGCGGAGTGGGGCCGACCACGCATTCACAAAAGATGTTTATTATCAGTAAACCGTACACTTCGGGTAGGCTCTCCGGTTTCTCCCCTCCTTGTCCTTGGACAGACCTCGACTTTCATATCAGTTGGCTCGTAGCTGTGACTGGTGGCGTTTCATCGCGTGCCGCTACTCGTGTCGCGTACCTTGCACAAAAATTCCCCGGCCCGCTTTCTTCGAAGCGTTTTTCATCGCGACGATCGACTGTCAGGTATCGATACGCCTAGCGTCGCTCGACGATCAACGTTCGACGACTTTGGGAGCGCGTAAAGCATGAGAAAAGAGGGAAATGCGGTTCGAAGGTGGAGCACGAAGACGTCCAGAGACATTGTGTTGGATAAAATTCCCGGGGCTCCCGACACAGCGTAGGAATGCGATAAAAATGGTAATCGGGGAGCAAACTCGCGGCAGAAAAAACAAAATCGTAAAGAAGAGCGAAACTTGACGGCTGCCGAAGTCAAGGTCAGCCCACCCCACCGCCAGGTTAGGGTACGCGCGCTGGACTCAGGGGGTAGACGGTCATTGAGAATCTTCTCGCAACCGCCGCCTGGTACTTGGCGTAAGGATCACGGCGAGGAAATCACCAGAAGTAGGAGGTAGGGGAGGGAGAGGGTAGTAACAAGGTAAAACGTTGTAACGACGACAACGAAAACGACGAAGAGGAAGGATCAATCGGTTGCGAAGTGGGGGGACCGGGTGGACGCGTAAAAGAAAGAGGACAGACGGGGCAAGGAAGCCCGAGCGGACAGAAGAGATTCGAAAGGGGAGCAACAGAGAGGCAGACCGATCGAACCGAATCGAACGAGGAGAAAACTAAAAAGGTTTTCATCCTCTCCCTCTTCGCCCTCTTCCGTCTTTCTTCATAGCGTCTCTGTTCCGCGTCGTGCACCTGTCCTCGTTCACCTAGCACACGCCCCGCCCCGACCAATGGAGTCTCGAGGGGCCCGGTGACGTCAGCGTCGGGTACCAGAAGGGCCGTAGTGGTGGGGGGCAGGATCGTCCACCACCACCTTCGGAGGCCGTGAGAGCCCCACGGGGGCCAGCAGCTAGCTGCAACCAGCGCCAGCAGCCCGGCCGGCCGTTGGCCACGTTGGTGGGGGCAGGAAGAGGGGCACCCTGGACCCAGACCAGGCCAAAGGAACAACGTAGGGTACCCACCGAAACCCATCACGCATTTCCCACCACCGACTCGTCCGGAAAACGTGCACTAGAGAGCTTCCGGACCGCGCTCGCAAATATCGAGTTCAGTCAAGTGAGTCAGGTCCGATCGCGGGTACACCTCTCCCGGGAAGAGTCTGAGGCGCGCGCCGGTCACGATCTTTTTGGAGAACGCCGTCGTTTCGATAGCGTTCATAGCATCCCGACGGTAGGGAATCGCGGTGACGATCGCGCGGCGACGATTTATCCGCGGTCGCTACTATGTAGGGAAGCTCCGTTCGACAAATCGGCGTTAAAACGACTTTGATCGGACACCGGAGAAAGGGGACCAGAAGGAGAGAGATTCTCCTAACTCGGCGGGGTCTTACAGCGACACCGTAGCATCGGTTGACGGTTCGTTCACCGTTGATCTCGATCGCGCGATAAGGATCGTTAGCTTACGCGGGTGGCGATACGACGACGCAGCTACGACGGTCGCGACGGTGATAAGAGTGCGTGCAGGGGGGGTGTGTGATGCCCTGGTTATGGTTAAGCGTGAGTGAGGTCAGTGGCAAGAGGAGGAGAAGAAGGACTGGCAGAGGCAGCTCGTCGTCCAAGTCCGCGTCGTCTGGGTCATCGTCGTTGTGTCAAACGTGGAGGAGGAGGATCGGCGGTGGTGGTGGCGAAAACTCGCTGGTACCGTCGACGCGTTCGACGACGACGGTTGCAGCAACGTACACGAGGATCGCGGACCAGTGACCAGAGCAGGGTCGTCTTCGAGCCAGAGCCGCGTGATTATGGTGCACCATCATCATCGTCGTCGCGGCCTTCAGGCGAGCCATCACTGCGTCCTCAGGAGACGAGGCGCGACGCCCTCGCTTCTCCAGGTGCTACTGCTGATACTAGGTCTCTGGCTGCCGGTGCTGGACAACGGCGGTCTCGTCCTCGCCTGCGGACCTGGCAGGGGCGGCGGACGCCTCCCGACCCTCAGGAAGATCACGCCGCTGGTGTTCAAGCAGCATGTGCCTAACGTCAGCGAGAACACGCTGCCGGCCAGCGGGCTCAGCGAGGGACGCGTGTCCAGGCACGACTCCAGGTTTCGGGACCTCGTGCCCAACTACAACGCCGACATCATCTTCAAGGACGAGGAGGGTACCGGCGCTGATCGTCTTATGACACAGGTGAACCAATCTCCGCAACTTATTGCTTCTTTCAGAGTATCTTCGCTATCGCGTCATCGCCCGAACGTGTAGCGAAGAGCAAACCCAACCGTGTATTGTACTTGGCGAAAGAAAGGCGCGATATGTTTTTGGTAATTAGAGCAGCAGGGGCAAGATAGCTTTTTTTAATTGCAGCGAATACCCGTTGAAGATGCGCATAGGTAACACGTGCTGATTTCTCGATCATGTTGCACGAATTTTTGAGTTGGCGAACCTTCAGTGCATTCGTGAAGTGATCAAATTCAGGTGTACGTATAACGTTGGTTGATGAGCGTGACTTGAAAATTGGTTATTTTTTATTAGAAATGGGTGCAAATGTTGAGTCACGACCACCATTGTATGTACACATGCCAAGATCGCATCTCTTTGGGAATGTATTCGACCGATAGCTTTCCAATTATGGCTTTAAATTCGGATTACGTGGCCGAGATACCAGAACGTTTTTATCTAAATTCAACGTTACCTAGAATCGGGCCACGTGACGGCGATCGAAACGTTAAGATACTCGTTATAATATACGTTTTATTGTTTATGTTGCTTCGATTAGCAAAGAAGTACCTCCTTTTATCACTATCTTTTTCATTGTTAATTTTCCCAAGACGGTAATATATTTTACAAATAGTTCGATTGTATATGAATAGAAATTTCATCTGTTGTCCGAGGCCACTTAATGTTTGATGAATTTGACTGTGAAAATCAAATGTTTCCATTGATCGTCTAAAGCGGGTTTTATGTTTGGTATTCTGTAACACGAGTAAGGTAAGACAAACGACCCAATTATCGACACATTTTGCGCCAATCGAAACTTCAGTTGCGCCGTAGTCTAGGATTACATAGCTCTTTACGTTCACGGTTGAGTTGACGCAATATTTAATGAATTTCGACGAAGTTTAATCTTTACCAGACTAGATATTAGCATAATATTAAGTGTAATATTAAGATAAATTCAGTAAAATGTGGGAAAACAGAGATATTTCTGTATTCAACACTAGAAGTACAATAGAAATCCAAAAATTCGGATACCAGAAATTCTTAACAAACTTATTAAAAGATATATCATGAAACGAAACATTATTTTTCTACATATTCTCGTCTATAATGAATTCAAAAGCGACAGAAGTCGCGAAGATTAACGAATAGATATTTGCTTCTCGTTATTCGTATTTTGCAACGTATCATACTATTTTATAAATAATTAACTTCGTTCGTGTATACGTCAGTTAGAATATTCTCGTTGACATATAGTCGTAATGGGGTATAAATACTTGTGCAAATACTTGACAGATACGTTAATTTCGTACGAAATTTCAATTTTAAAACAAGATATGCGTACATAACGATAATTGAGCAATTTGTACTTCGCATTTCTCATTTCCAAGAATCAAAATAAAATTTTGTTTGCCTTCTGATTTTTTTGTAGGCAACAGAAATATGTTAGGTATGCGGTTTTACCCTACTTTTCCCTATATACAAGGTGATTCGTGAATCCTCCACGGTATTTAAGCGATATAAACAATTTGTGAATCGTACTTTGGACAAAAATTAAATTATTTATTGTGAAATGGGAGTGCAAACTAGACTTGAGCATCTTCAGGTCCAAGTAGCTGAATTTTGTTTCTAGGTATAGTTCCTACAGCAACACCTCTAAACTTAGAACCATTAATCAGATCTAACAGTATCGTTCTTGAAGATGAATCATCTTCTTAAAAGTATGAGCTGGATGTTAACATTCGAAGTCTATAGAAAAAAATGAAGTAATGGTCGTAATATAGCATAAACTAGAATAGAATGCTCCAGTATTGTAGTAACACCCCCAAATATCGCATCATTAATCAGATTTATTAGCTTCGTATCTGTGGATGAGCCATCTTCTTGAAAGTATCGTTCACAGCAGATGGACGTATGTTCGATACCAAAGTCTATCAAAAGAAATTAAATAATAATACTAATAGTACAACGCACAGCATTTCTAGGGTAAAATGTTGTTTTCAAGTATAATTTCTTCAGCAACGTCTCTTAATATAAGATCACTTGTCAGATCTCTCAATTTTGAATTCAAAGACGATTATTAAAAATTAAATAATAGCAGATTGGATATCTTCAGAGCCAAGAATCTAAATATTTTCAGATCTATCAACTCCACGTTCGAATCATCTTCTTGAAAATTCGCTGGAACTATTTCGATATCCAAGCCCATGAAAAAACCCGCAATAAATCGGAGGATATCAAAATCATTGCTACGGGCAACGTTACGTGTCCCGAGCGCAAATCGCGATCCTCGTAAAACGATTTACACGCGACCAAGGGTAAAAGTATGGTTGACAGCGTCAACGTCCACCGCCTTCACGGTTTCCTCGAGGCTTCGTTCCTGGAGGATTCGTCATTTCTCGCGAGGGTGTTTTCGTGGAGTGTCAGCGTAGCGGAAGATAGAAGAGCCCAGACCCGCGATAAAAACGGTCGTCCTTGGAGTCGTCGGTGATTCATCGCGATATTTCGCCAACGGTAGCCCCGGGGTATCGTCGAGTCCGATCGATTCGTCGATCCTGATGTCGAGGTCGTCGCTGTTAGCGGACCCTTTAGGGTGAAACGCATTCGCGAGGATCGCTCGTAGCTTTTAGAACGCGTTTCACGTAGGAGTAAGGAACTACAGGATTCTAGAAAGAGTGCAGTCAGTGACCTTTACATCCGATTCCGATAATAGTACGGTGATTCACGCGCGAACAATATACCCAGAACCCCCTTGGTTTGTGTACATCAGCGTACCGCGGGCGTTTAGGAAATCAAACACGTCACAAAAATTGGTTGCTCGTTCGGAGCAGCGATTCTTAACCGACGAGAGGATAATCGTATCGTGCCACGAATGTTTAACGTTGGGTAACAGATCCTATGAAATTTTTCAATGTGTAAACCTGTTACAATTTTAGCACACCTGTGTCGCTATAAATTTTTAATAATCTCAAATCGAATCACTTTATCATAGATTAACGAAATAATTTAATATCGGGTACTGGTTTTCTTGAAAAACCTTGTATTTGTATCAGTGTTATTTATAATACTCGATATATAGATATGAATGGACTATACTTAGCAAATCACATTTTGAGACCTCGAGAAAATCGTCTATTTATTTTATTGATAACAAGATTGTTACAGTTAGTCATTGGTCGATTCGTACGGATAAGAAGAGGAATTTTAGAATTCGTTTAATACCATTGCGTAATGACCTGATTACTTTGTAATGCTTAGCCACAAACCAATCGTTGGCGCTATGGTCGATACAGATCAGTAGCTGTCAAAAATTTGGACAGATTCATCGATAGCAAAGATGAACGAAATTCTTATCTATAAATAGATAAAATTGTTGAGTAACGTGTCGAACACGGACAAAAATTTGAAATATGAATTTAAAAATAATCGTTTCAAACAACGGTAATTGTAATTTCATAAATATATCTAAATAAATGTAGTAAGTAAATCGTTGTAGGATGTTGTTAATTGTCTTTTATTCTCACTAGTCGAACAACGTTTTATCCATCTCTGATTAATAAAGAACGTCCGCGACTTTAAACAGACCGCCATTGGGTTTATTATTTCAACAACGAAAGAATTTGACGCTCGTCACTGATCTTTCCGAATTTCTGCGAGCTTCTGATAATCAATAGCGTAGCCGGGACGAATCCGTCAGAATACTTCTCACCCTGCTTCTTCCACATACATTTTGCTTTTTTTAAGATTATTGAGGATGAAAAGAAAAAACGGTTACCATCTGTATATTTATATTATCTGACGTGCATCGACAACAATAAGTTTTGTTAACAAATAGAATGACATTTAGATAATAAGAGTCCAGGAGAAGTTCGTTAAATTATTGACAAAAATCCAATAAACGGAGTCTACTGTAATGGAGCAATTACACCGGATGCATCGCAGCGGTTAACGATAATTTACGAGTACGTCTCGTAGAAATTAGAATGTTAGAACGCCGGGGGATCTTTGAGATTCTTGATTCCGAAAAGATTGATTGCGTTTCGCGTTTAAAGTGCAGCCTGACGGGCGCGTTAACTGCTGCGACGCGTGTTATTACTTCAACGCATGTCGCCGTGCTCCGCGGCCGTATGACAAATTAGCTACCGCGTGTCGTTAAACGTCGTCAGGTGATTCGCGCGAAATACTATCCGCCCCGATAAGAGTCCTGATCGCTCCTGAATACGTTTCGCGTGCACAGGACCGACATTCGAAACCCGTACAGGTCAAACGTTTCGCGGGGAAACCGCCATTGCGTGTCTGTCTTATCCGTCCGACGCGGAACCAGATTCAGTCAAATTTTTCATCTCGCTTTTGCCTCCGATCCTCACGTGTCACTTATATTTACCATTTCTCAGGCCTAATTTTGTATTTGTCGTACGACTATTTATTTATTCCGAACATATTTTAGCGGCAATTATACTGTTAATAGCCGTGCAAGGTGTTCAACAAGTAAAGAAATATGAGTTAAATATCCTTACAATTGCCATTTCTTTTAGTTTCTTTTCTAGAAAAAAAATGTTAATATTAAATTAGAATTTGATTTCTGTAGAATTCTGATCAAGTTATGAAAATAGAATGAGCAGACCCAGTTAGTCCACAGCCACCATTTTGAAGCGCGGAGAGGGGTCCCAGGAATGAGATCGAATGGGAAATCGAGAAATTAGGAGACACGTTTGAATAAAAGAAATGGAAAACAGTGATCTTCTGTTGTCGCCACCTGTACCAGTCTATAGTCGTTCAGAGTACTCCTCGATATTTATTCCCTGTCCATAGAGCGTCCATTAGTGCTTTATTCATGCAGTTTTTATCGATGTTTGCCTTCCACTTGGCGCCTCCACGATGCGTGAAACGATTCTCCTAACTCCGGGCCCGTTGTATTCCAATTTGTAAGTCCCACGTTCGCGGCGAACAAAAGGGCTGCGCGCGGCGCCGGT